CGCCACCAGGTCCTCTCCCCCACCACCAGCCTCCCCACCCTTCAGCTGGACACCAAGGTTTGCAAGCACAACACCAGCATGTTGTAAACTCTGCACCTCCCCCCCCTCCACCCCCACCCTCCAACGTTATGGGCTCGGGGCACCACCCAGCATCAGCACAAGGGTTACACCACCCCTCTCATCAAGGACCCCCCCATTTTCCTTCCAACGCTCACACGAGCGTGTCCTCCTACTCCTCACAAGCCCCACACCACACAACGTTAGGACCTGGACCTCAACATCAGCCTGCTGGAACAGGACCGCATTGCCCACTCCCCGGCCAGGGTCCTCACATCCAACCTCAAGGACCAAACAGTATTGCAACACCTACTGCTTCGGGGTTCTGCCCTCACCCCGGCTCTGTGACCCTTCCCCACACCATGCAGGGGCCGCAGCAGGCATCGCCGGTGCCCGGACAGATCCCCATCCACAGAGCACAGGTGCCGCCCACTTTTCAGAACAATTACCATGGTTCAGGGTGGCATTAAAATGGATCCCTTTAATTCTAAACATTTTTAAAATGTTCTGTAATATAAACTGTGCATATTTCATATGTACCTATTCAAGGTACTTTTTAAAGCTTGTACATGATACTTTGTATAAAAGCAAACACCAGTGCTCTTTCATTGTATTCTTTCCATTTTTTGCTTTTTAAAATTCCTGAAAATGTGCTGTTAAGCCAGTATTAGGTATTTCTTTTTATTTTGTAAGTGAACATTCCAGCTGTTTTTTCTGGCAGTAGGTTTGATGCTGCATAATCTTTAAAATTTTATTGTTGCAGTTAAATTCATTTAGTGAATGTTTTCTATATTACTTTTATACATATGTAATTAAATAAGTACACAGGCTAAGTGATGGCACTAACAATTTTTTTTTTCCCCCATTTTCTTCTGTCAACAGTTCTTTGTGTGCATAGAGATAGAAAACAATGCAATACAAATTTTTATAGTTTTGGTGTGGACATGGCTTTTTGTTTCATCAGTTATTTGCAGAAAATGTAATTTAATGTATAGACTGTTTCTAATGTCTCCGAGTGCTGTAAATACTGTATTTCTTTTGCTTGTAAAATTGCTTAAAGCTTCTTTCATTTGATATAGTATTGTATATAATAAGTCTCTTTTGCAAAAGAAAAAGTGTGATCTTTGTGGAAGTAGTACAGTATATGATCTTTAATTTTTTTTTTAATATACTGTCACATTGCAGCACTGGTTGGGCATTTTAATTCATGTTAATAAATCACAACTCTGTCAGTTTTAACCGCTTGTCCTGAAAGGGTGGTGGTGTGTCTTCAGGGAAGTGGCTGCACAAACCAAAACAAACACCTCCTCTGGTCCCTGTGAGGCTGTTCCTGTCCCTGCAACATCCAGCTGTGAGTTTACTGCTGTAGTACAGACAGCGGCTTATTTTCCCTGCTGAGTCTAGAGGTGAGGAAAAACTGTTCCCAGCACAGCAGGGCCTGGTGGCAAGGTGCTGATGGGTTCATCGGGGTGCAGTGGTGTGTCACCCAGAGGATTTGTACACCCTTGCAGCTATGTTACTCCGACTGTGGTGCCAGACTGCAGTGCCCCCCGCACACTGCAGCATGCTCCTCTTCCTTTAAGGAATCTTTAGCCCCCCATGAGGGCAGTACATGGGGAAGGTTTAAAAATGCGCTTAAACTGCGTTTGTAATGCACCTTCCCCGTCCCTGCCCTGCAGATTCTCTCCTCGAGGGAGAGCTGTGGTGCTAGAATGGAGTATGGGACACTAGGCACTATGGAACAGTATTTCTTTTTAAAGGAAGCAGTTTATTC